ATTCTTTCTTATATGAATATATTATATAAATCATATATTATTTCAGATCTATTATCTAATAGATCAAAAAATATATTATAATAAGAATAAAAGATACTATAAGAATAAAAAAAATTCGAAAAATATTTTTTTTTATTCATCTCTATTATTTTATTATGAAATTGGGCAATTTAAATTAAAAATTATACACATCTAGTTGCAGAATTATAAATATTTAATATAATAAAATATCTTGCTTGAATTTTCGTGCTTAATCGCTTCTAATCTATCATATTTCTATATATTTATATCTATATATATAATTATCTATCTAAATTATATAATTCAATTCGATATCGATTAAAATTTCAATATTTGTAACGACCCAGACTCTAATTTTATAAAGACCAATTCTCTTATAGATATTTTAAACTAAAGATTTCTTGAAAAATTTGAATATAGAATTCTTGAAAATTTCATCGATAGAAAAAAATTTTCGAAATTATGAAATTAAGAATTTATCGAATATTTATAATTTTATGAATTTTGAATATTATGGAAAAAAGGAGCCTCAAAGATATGAGAGCGTATTATTACCATAATAATAAAAAAGAATGTAGTCCATAATAAGAAATATTGGCACCACGATAGAAATATAATTTTACCACGACAGCTCATGAATATTGTCGGGTATATGTATGGGTCTATGCCGTCGACGGTTCAGCATTGTTCCATCCGGTGAGTTTCAGCCGAATAAGATGTTTTCTGAGGTGGACGGGCGAAAGAAGTGAGTCATCTTATGAATTTGGAAATGTCTTGCTTGTTGTTTATCTCATTCGGATTGAACAGGTTAGCATCACGCAGCTCCATCAGTCCTCAATAGAAGGGACGCCACTTTGATCTCTTGCAAGTCTTATTCGTCATCGTCTGCCTTTTCAAGGCTGTGCTCCTGGCGGCCATATCAGTGACGAAATCCGTTCTTGAAACAGCAATACAGGTACTACCTGCCTGGTCGCGCCAAGAAACATACACAGCTCTGCAGGTGGCACACACACAAATGGAGACCTTCATGTGCTGTAGGTGAGCTTCGTACTGCCAGGTGTCTATGATGTCCTGGCAAAAGAGTCTGGGAACGCAGACCTCCGCGAGAATCACTCGGAGCATTCATGTCGGATCGTCCTGCATCTCTTGTCGACTGTAGTGTTCGGCCTGGACTTCGAATGCAATACCAAGCGAAGTCCAAAGTGGCCAGAACCAGCCCTAAACCCTCAGACCCTTGTGCGGGTTCCAAGGCGTCGGCCAAGAAGCGCTTCTTACGCCCGTCGACAAGCTCGACATCTACAACAGCGGGAGCGTCGTAGCCTCGGGGCGGAGGAGGGTTCGGAGCATGGTTTCGGGATGCTTTGGGTTTAGGGTTTAGGGCCAGAGTCTAGGGTTGGGGGTTTAGAGATTGAGGGTTTAAGGGATTTAAGGTTGCAATACCGGTGGTCCGTGCTGCTGAAATAGGGAGCTGAGTGTCGGACCGAGTAGTTCCCAGCTGGCCTTCTCAGGGTGCCGTTTCTCCCAAAGCATTGCCAGCACAGCAGCAAAGCTTAAAGTCTACACAGAATCCTGCCCTGTGGCTTTCCTACCATGTCTAATCTGCTTGATCCACCCGGGTATGCGGGCACTTCGTGAGTTTTCTCGCAGCTCTGGTTCGGGCACTGCTGGAAGGCTTTCGTGATTCGTCTCTTCGTTTCTGGAGAGCCGCCTCGTTATGGCACCAGGAGTATCCTAAACAGCACCTTGCCAGTCATTTTTCCGTGTTACAGATTCGAACATGCTGGAATTCTGTTGGCGACTGCTTGAGTAAGTTGAGTAGCTCGTAAGTTCATGCTTTCGCAGAACTCAGCTTCATGAGGTATTACAGCGAGCATGTTCAGTTGCAGTTCCAGCCCGTGCTGTGGCATTTGCTTAGGTAGCTTGACAGAGAACTCGGACAAAATTGCAGGATTGAGCACGAATGGTACTCCCTCGCGCACCTGCAAGTTCGGGAATTTCTTCTTCGTACTCCTGCAGACTGTATCGATTGACACGCATAGCATCGGAGCAGAACAGCCAAATCCCAGCATACTAAAGATTGAGGGAATCGAGCTGGGTGCACATCTATGGCCTTTGCTTGCGACGAAAGGGGCCCCGAACCTCCCAAAGCAATCGCCTGTCTCATATGAAACCTTGTCTTCCAGTACAAACCCGTAAATCGAAACCACGCAGTGTTGCTTCCTGCTGCCGTGTTACACCTACAATACTCTACCATGCACAGAGCATGAAAGAAAACCATCTTGCGGGAAGACAAGGAGTACTGCCCTGCTAGGAGCCGTGCTCTGCGGTCATGTGAAGAATAAGCCGCCTGCAAAGGCACCACAGCTTGAGTTGGACCCCACACGGAGACTTACATGCAAAGCGTCACTGCCTCGCCACCTCGGTCCGCTCTCGACCAGGATGGTATGCGACATGTATCCTGCCGGGAGTCAAAGGCATGCCGCGGATTGCCAAGAATTACATACTGTAGGCCGTGAGCTCCTCTTTAGGTATGCCAGGAAATCCAGGGTAGGGAAGAGCTTGTACCTGGCGGCGCGACGAGCTGCTTGAAACCCGAAAATGCGCTCAGACAGCGCACTTCATTCCTCTCCTCGCTTCTCCCAAAGGGGTCGCGAAGCGACCTGATGCTCAGAGCACAGCCCAGGAATCCATCCACAGCCGCTGCTGCCACAGCTCCCGAGATGCTGGCAGGGGGTTGTGGTCCGGGCGACAGCCTTGAGCGAGCGGGCCGAAACCTGCTTGGTTGCTGACAAAAGCTGCTTTCGGATGCCCATGTCAACATGGCATCAGACCTGAACGCTGCACATGGCTCACTGCGTGTCGAACACTAGTACTTAAGTGAGTCTAGAAAGTGGTTTGCGGCAAGTATCACATAATGCAGAGGCGACATAAACCTTTTGACACCGGTGTTGGAAGTGGCTTGAAACGGGCAAAGAAAACTTATTACATTCCATGATTATTCCACTATTGCACGGGACCGTCTGCCTAAGCTCCAAGGTCTTGAATGCCAGCATCTATGTTGCACTTCACCCTTGTTCGCGCCAGATGCGCTCGAGCCAGGATAGGTAGATCGTTCTAAGCTGGATTCGCAGTACGGCTGTCACGTTCGGTGAAAAGAATATGACATGAAATTGTTCGTTTGCTTTTCTGTCTCGTTTGCCGCAGCTCATGTAGGCCAAACTGGAAACGCTTCGGCTGCACGAAATTCCGCAAAGGAACGAGACAGGGAACGCCCTACTGTGCCTCCACAGTGCGAGCATTTGAGAGCACTGCTCAGAGAGCTCACTGCCATTGGGATTGTGCATCGTCTGGCTATGACCGATTGGGAAAGGTAGTCTGTTCTTGCTTGGCGCTCTCGTCTGAGGAAAACAGCCACAAGACCCAGGGTTTGTTAGCATCGGACGCATCAGTGTTGGCTCAGGCTTCGTTTCTCGCCTCAGCAAGGCAACTCTGCTGCCATCAATCTAATAGTTCGGTTGACCCTGCATATGCCTTAACTGATGTGTACACAAAATGCAGCTACACGCACTCCTTCAACAACAGCAAACCGTAGCACGCCTCAATGCTTACACTGCTTGATGCTGCAGCAGGCTACAGTAAATTCCTACGAACTTGCTGTGCACGCAGGAAAACCCTATCAGCTGCCTGCTATCCACTGACTGCATAGGGAGCTCGGCCAAGTTGTTGTTAAAGCTTGCGCACCTTTCGAGACTGCTTGCTGGCCAACCCACGTCTTGCATGAGTCTGGCAAGACCATCAAACAAGATCGACTAAATCCGATCTAGTCCTTCTCATGCCGCCTTTGGGATACTCCCAGACACACCTGTCAGCGCAGCTTCCTTCTCCTGCACCGGTGGGCAAGGTAAGCAAGGCCTTTCCAGGACGAAACCCAAAATCTACCGAGGTTTCCCACCGGAAAACAGAATGTTCGGGTGCCTCAGTGCACGACGACTCCCAGAAGTTCCAGGGCCCCGGGGAACCAAGGCTCTTTTCAAAATGCTATGTTGCCTCCCACCCATGCCTTTGCCTTGTTGTACGACACCTGACCATAACATCCACACCTCTCTCCCATCAAGGCATACTTCCCTGCGTGACACCCGTTGCCCTCATCCTATCACCCAGAGAGAGGGGCTGCACCTTTTGGGGCGTTTGGCGGGGTGATCACAACAACGGCAAACTTGCTTAGGACGGCAACAAAAGCGTTGAACAATCTGCCGATGTGCCCCTGCTAGCAGCGCATTCCATAAAAAGGATTTCCTCCACCGCCGTGACAACCGATCATCCTCACCCAATTGTGTGCTCTGGAAAACCGCTGGTTTGCGCAGGGCATGTGAGGCACTTTGGCGCAAAGCCTGTCCAAAGGAACTGGGATGATACAGGGAGAAAACCAAGGCGTGCGAAATCCCAAACAATAGACAATTGGCAATACACTAGGGATCAGTGGCAATTCCGAGCAGGTACCTTGCCTAGCAGGTTTTCGAACCAAACAGGCAAAACCCGTGTGAATAGTTCTGCTGGAACAGCTCAAGCTACCTCAAACAGAAATACTGTTCTAAGTTGTTATTGACGAAGACTGCTACGATCACCACAAGGACCCCATTCTCTTCTAAACAAACATTCCAGGTTGGCGGCGGGCAATTGATAAAGGCTGGCCCGGGTCAGCCTGCAGCGTCGGCATCTGGGCATCTCCACTTCGCCAGCGACGCTTCGCTGCTGCCGCGCAATGTTCCTGCGCATTGTAGGCACCAGTCCAGCGCCAGAATGACGTGTTCGCCAAGCGTGGATCGATTCTGTTGCTACTGCACTGTACTTCAACTCTCAAGTGTGGCACAGACCGGTCTTTGAAGTCAACCCTCAGCTTCCCGCGACCCCCCGCCTTCGTGAGTGCCTGATCTTCCCACATCTGCGATCTGGGCACGGTAGCTACAGATGGAAGGGGATGGGAGATCGAGATTCTCCCCCACTTACTCAGGCCTGGAAAGCGTCGGCTGGGAGCACTCAAAGGCAGATACCAAACTGCCTGCATGACTCAGCAAGCCTGCATAGTCTTCAAACTACAGAAGATGAGGAAGAGTCCCCTGACAGGTTGCCTGCGCAAGATGTGGCCGTAGAAATCGCCAAGTGGCGGAGGCTGCGAAATGCGGGCCAAATCGTGCCACCTCAAGCTAGCCAAGCTGCACAGACCCACAGCGACTCAACGGTTTGAGCCAAGGGGCCAAGGGCATCTGCTACGGAGCCGGCGGCAGAGAAACATATGCGCGCCGCTCCTGCGAAACAATGCTTTCTGGCTTTCTCATTTGCAGCTGAGCTCTGGAATGCTCAGCTTGATGCTCATTGGTCAGTAAATCCCGAATATCATCACTTCGACAGAACCTGCCTTTGCACTGCGTCGCCGAAATCGGGCAGCCTCAGAGCAATGGCCGTCACAGACCTCTGCCCTCTGCCTCATCCGTCGCTTGTCCCCAAAGCTCGAGGCTTGGGCTCGCCCGCGGAACTTGAATCGAGATGAGCCGGTCGAGCACGACAAAAGGTAGAGTCCTGCAAAGGACAAGGGAGGAAGGACCCCTCTGAGACTGCGCGAATGGCTGACTCCACCTGGCCTGGGTGGCGTTTCCACTTGACCGCAGTCCGATGCCTGCGACATCTGTCCGGCCTCAACGGCAGAAGAACCCTTTTCAGACTTCCTGCTCAGTAGCTATGAACGCTCTTACCAAGTGCTTCGGCCACGGATCTACGACGCTGACAGCTCTGCTCTCAAGGTCAAATCACGCTGAGCACGGAGCCCAGGGTATGTTGGACGGGCACCAAGCCTCCTGAACATATGCCTCGCCACGAAATTCAGAAAGCCTCACTGTGATCTTCCCTCGGATTCTCAATGAATTGGTATCTGGAGTCACTTTACGCAAGACTCCTGTTACGTCAGTCAAAGCTGGCAGCAATGTCTCTCCAGCGAATGGTGCCTCGTCTCGGCTCGTCCAGAATTCTCGATGACGCCTGAAGCATCGCGAAGATCCCCGACACGCACCGCTGCTCCCCAAGTCTAAGTCCTGCATCGCAGTGTTCTGAGACTCTGAGGCCCCAGCTGCTGGAAGGCGAGGACGCGCTCCTGTCAAGCTGGCATGGTTCTGGCCATCAGACCTCTTCATGCCGACAGAAGCGGCTGGTGCAAGGCTTGCACCGGGTGCAGGTCCCCACATGACTCGTGATCTTCGAGAAACACGTTTGAAAGCTGATGTCAATGGCTGGGAGCACCCAAACGGCGTCGAGCTTCTCACAGACGAGGAATATCAGCTCCATGCATTCCGAAGGTCGAGATCTCACATGCCGCCTGAGCCGTAGGCACAGTCGCCAGAGTTAGCAACCTAGAACATTCCGGACAAGCAGCGCTCGCAGTGAAATCATGAACTCCGACGTGCCACAGGTGATGAGGCTACTTGTTCTAGCGTTGTTTCTTAACATGCTGCCAAGGGATTGCAGTTGCAATTGTGACATGACCCGGTAGCCAGCCCGGGTCCGACTGACGAAGGCATGCAGGAACTGGTGCTCGGGGTCTTCCGTTCAAGCCCACGCTTACCGGGATTTCCGCACCTTCTTGGGATTTATAGATACCCCAAACCTGCATGTTGCTCGCTGATTGGAGCCCTAAGCATCATTGACGAGCGCTGGAACTCTGCAGGCACGTGGAAACCAACCGGGGGCAATGCAGCACTGCGGCGCCGAGTGCCACCTCGGCGGTCCAAAACGAGACAGGCTTGGCCACCCAATCGGTGCTACCACATCGGAGATGCTGTGGGCCCAAAAATCCGATTCCAAGGCCCGGGCGAAGAAGAGCAGCAGCAGCGCGAAGCGACTCAGGTTGCCCAAGGCCTGCAGCCAGCGTGGGGATGCTTTTGTCGCTTGCTCGCGACGTCTGTGAGAAAGCCCACTTTGATCCTTGAATTCGCAGCGTTGGAGACGTCACCGATCCGTCAGGGATGCAGTCGTCCATTCTTCACTTGCTACAGTTCTGACTGGGGGCAGCAAGTCTAGCTACAAGACACAGACTGACCGATGGCCTCGCGCCTCCAACTTTCCCGCCAAGAAAGTATGCCCAGTAAGTTTTCGAGCTCGTCGCAAGTTCGGTGTGAGCGATTGCGACAGAGTTGCCGTGCACACGCGAAATCTCGGCGGCACTACGTCACAGGGTTGAAGGGGGCCTCTGTGATCCTCTGTGGGCCGCACTTTGCCGATGGGCCGTGGCGGCCCAGTGGGGCCCAATGGGGCCTAACAGGCCCATCGTCAAAGTGCAACCCACCGGGGCCCTCTCCACAAAGGGCCCTTTGCGGCGAGTCGCCAAGACTTTCATAGGACCCGAAAGCTTACCACCTTGGGACGTGACTGGTCTGTGTATGTGTGCAGTCGTACAGCACGTCGCAGTTCGGGGCGGTGCGAGTCGTGTCTGTGTCAGACTGTGCATGTGTTGCTTCTGAACACTTGCCACCGCACAGAAAGCATCTGAGAGGCTGCTCTCTACAGCCCGAGACACACGGCGCCATGGCAGCAACGTTGTTGCGCCGGTTCTCCCTAGGCAACTTGAAGGTAAGGCAACCTGATGCTACCACGAAATGGCTGCTTCTGTTGTGCAACGATCCAACCAGCCCCAGCCTGCACCAGAGCACGCTAAGCCATACCAAGCAAATCTTTCGGTGAGAAGCACACACGCCCACAGGGCGGCATCCAAGCAGAGCTGGACGCCTCTAGAGCCAGCGCTGCCACCATAGCTCGATGCAGCACCGGCCGCCGAGGTGTTGGCAAAATGTCCTGGGAGTCCACGACAAGCTGAAGCGAAAGCACATTGTGGCAGGGCCCGGGGACGGCCTGACCACGCTGCTGCAAAGTAAGGTCCCTGCCAGCATCTGGCGCGAGGCATCCAGAAAAGGCCGAGCAAGTCGAGAAGCACCAGGCAGGAAATCAAGCCACCTCAATGTTCGTGGCAGGACGGCCGCGCGATGGCAGACGGCTCGGCTCGGTTGAAACCGTCCATCTCAGCTGAACAGGGCCACGACCTGGTGACGACCACGACGGTGACCTCCGTCCGAAACGTGTGCAATCAAACTCTGGGTTCCTGGCAATGCTCTTTCAGCTGAGCATGTGGCAGCTGCGGCAACGCCCGGCTGCCGCAGGAGAGCCTCGCGAGATCGTCTCGCAAAGAAGCCAAGATAGCCAAGGAGCACGCAGGCCGGCACAGCATGCATCTCTTTTCGTTCTCGGCGAGCCAGTGAGGCTGCAAAGCTGTCCAACCCAGCCGCATGACAACAGCGGTCAGGTTGCCCATCCTTGCTTCAGCTTGACTCAAAGCGAGCTGTCCCTGCTTGCATGCAAGGCTTTGATACTGCTTGATTTCGTTTAAGCAAAAACGGTCGAATGAAGCCTGCAAGGACACCAGATCACGTTTCAACACTGCATATGCGCAGACCATCAACCCGCTTTATAACTGGAGACACGTCACGCACCACGCTTCCTCGCAGAAAGCGTCAATGCTTGACCTTGTGGTGGGCATGAATATTTTTCGCTTTACTGCGTCACTCAACCGCATAGTACTTCACTGGTGCTTATCGCTCGGAAGTTTGTTTGCAGGGCAACTGGCGTGCACCTAGGACCTACAACTGACCCACACCGATTGCACCACTTACACTCACTTCGCCCTAGAACTCGCCTGCGGCTGCGCGAAGGATCGCATGACTTGGAGCCGCACTGACGGCCACAGAGTCTTTGTTCTCCAAGAACTGCTGCTTACAGATCTCGGCGATGTCCTGGTTCTTCAGCTTGGAAGTCACCTGCGAGGCAGAGCATACTTGCAATACCCAGGCCTGCTTCGTCGCTGCCTCGATTGATTCTTGCCTTTCTTGCAGCACTTCTGCACGCAAAGAGCTCTAGACACTGCATTCAATTCTCGAGACGCTGTAACCGAATCCAGAACGTGACCCGCCAAGCTTCCATGCTGGCATTGACCCGTTTTCCAGTGCTTGCCCGGGCACCATCGCAACTAACTGCTGTGTGACATGTGGGTTTGTCCATCAGCTCTCGGGCAGTGCAGAGACAGCAAGGCTGCCCGAGCTGCCCCTGGCTCTTCCTTGTGAACGACCCTCCCTTTCAAAAGCAGCCTTGCTGCACACCAGGACGATGGCCCAGTCCTGGCTGGCGTCGGTGTGTTGGGGTGCGGCAGTGAGAGAACCTCACTGCATTTCCCTAGCAGGCAATCAAAAAGAGACTCGCGAGCCGACCGACAGTCCTCCGGTGTCAGAGTTCGGACAGCCACCTCTGCCTCGCAAGGGACCTGAGGCAATGCTGACTCTCCCCTAAAAAGGCTGCGGCTGCCAGGTGCTAAGAGGACAGTTGAACGCAGACACATCCTCGATGCCAAGATGCAATGTTGAAGGGCGCCTTCAACCGTATGTCTCCAAAGGACCGGGTAGTGTGCAGCCAGAGCAAGTCGTTGAAGGAGCCTGGCTCCGGCCAAAAGCTCCCTGCGCAACCTGCAACTCCTTCCCTGCAGACCCTCGCCTGTTGTTTTCTTCTCTTTGTACTTGTCCCTTCGCCCCACCTCGCGGACTGGATTCATGATTGGGCGGGCCCGGCTCTCTGCAGGGTCCACGGATGCAGACTCATGTCGGGCCAAAATGAAGGGGAAACATGCATCATGTTTAAGCCAGCAGAAAGGGGTTACCATGGGGGGGGGGGCTGCGTGTGACAACCCGCTCTCTAAGTTAAAGAAACACACCCACGCAGACGCACGAGCATCGAAGATCTCAGAGAAGACTGTCATCTCAAGCTTGTGGTGGTTGGCTTGAACGCTTCCACATCTGTATACGTATCTGTGCTATGTAAGTCTCTCTATGTGTATATATAGGTGTATATATGTATATATGGTGCAGCGTCGCCCTCCCCGCCCCCTCCCCCCCCCTGGTATCCCCCTACCCCCCCTCCCCAATCATGCTTCCCTTCAGGTGGTGTTTTGTGGGTTTCAGTTTTAACCCCCCTCTCGCCCCCTGTGGTGTGGTGTGGTGTGGTGGTGGGTGTTGGGTTCAGGGCTTCGGGTTTGCACTCGCACGCCCCCTGTGGTGTGGGTGGTGGGGTTGTTTAGGGTTTAGATGTATAGATATGAAAGGGTTTAGGCTGTAGGCGGCCTCATGCTCTCCCACACCCCGGCCCCCCGGTGGTGTGGTCGTGGGTTTTGGGTTGTTTAACCTCCCTCGTCCCCCTGTGGCGTGGTGGTGGGTGTTGGGTTTAAGGTTTAAAGTTTGCGCCCGCCGCCCTGTGGTGTGGCACTGGGTGGTCGGAACCATGTCCCCTCCAGGTCGCCACTTTGGACACGACGAAGTTGCATAGCTTCAGAAGTCACAACACTCACGAGGATCGCGGGTTCGGGAGGCCCATCCCTGTGACTGTTGGCACTTTTGCGACAAAAGTGAGACCCTCACGAGGATTTCGGGTGTGTACTACCAGGGGGGGATACAGGGGGGGGGGTGGGGTACCGACACGCGACGCGGAACAATATATATATATATATACATATATGTACATTCATTCACACCGCCGCAAGGGAGTCTCGCGCTGCGTCGAAGGGCAATCATTCCGATCGGCACCTCAAGGGTGCATGCCCGGTAGTTGTTGGGCACCCCGATGAAAAAGGAACTCTGCATGCTGACCAGCCGTACCTGCTATGCTAAGATGTAAAAGAAGAGTAGTAATTGGAAAGAGTGAAAAGGGGGGGGGCAAAAGGTAACCAATAAGACAGCATAGGCCACAACAAGAAGCAAGCAGCATTAGCAAGGCATGGGTCACCCGGCGTGTCCGCCCCTTAAGCAGTGAACCCCGACCGGTCAGAGCCATCAAAAGTAAAATGGAGGCCAGCCAACTCTTTCAGAGATGGGCTAGCTTGTTGCAGGACATCGGTCACTCTAAGTCAATGCATCGTTGCGTTTGCTGAGAAAATAAAGATAGGCATTACTCTCAATCACGGGAATGTCTGTGGCAGACACCGGAGTCGGAAGCTGTCCATCATCTGTGACGCGACTCAGACTGCCCTGATGCAAAAGCGCAGCCCTGTAGTGGCCGCTGGCTCTGGAGCGTCCAAGATGGTAAACTATGGCTTGCACCCTATATGCATGTGACGTGGTCTGCAGACTCCGGTTGCAGAAGGTGGGGATATAAACCGTATGGCTGGAGTGGATCCTAAACGCAACCTTCTCCCCATCCTCTCTAAATCTACCAATTTGGACAACCAGCGCTTCGGGAGCAGTCACAAGCGCATGCCGCTGGGCCTGATTGCGCCATTGAATGAACAACTTTTGCAGGCTGAGTTGTGGGACTGAGGGGTCGGCAACGCTGAGGTGTATGGGCCACACTTGTCCGTGATCACCCACCTGTTGCGGCGGCACTGGGTCAGAACGCGATGCACCTGGACCCGCTAACCGTGCTTCCCACAACCCATCTACTTCGGGAGACAGGAAGTGCTGCCTCAGAAAATGGAGGTAGTCAGCGGCATCATGCTGCCTGTGAGGCTCTGTCCATGCCTGCATCAGTCTGACCCAGGCGGGTGCTTGCCATAAGGCTACACGCTGTGATCTTCTGAGGAGCCAGCTTACAAACCTTCCAAAATCGCGGCTGATGCTCAATCCATAAGGGAGCCTGGTGGCGAGCCAAAGGAGCGAGCTTAGAACAGAATTCGCATAGCAATGAACCGACGGGTTAGTAAGGATAAGCCCTAGAACCTGTGCCTCAGTGCACTTCAGCGCTGAATGGACTGCAGGAGCTGGTCGATGTGCGTCGCCAGCGGGCTCCGTCCAAGGCGGGTTGGGCGGGCGGTGGCGCCGATCAGATGCATGCAGCCATTGCGGCACAGTCGCCGCATCAAGCAGTACATTTGGTGGGCCTCCTGGTTCCGATTCTGCACCTGGAGGGAGAAGGGGATAACCTCGCTCTCCATGTTCAGAGCCAGTTTCCGCAACGGGTGGAACTTCCCCACCGTGTCCGGAAAGGCAGTGAGTTGTATCAGGAACTCCACGATCTCCACGGCTTTGGCATGCGGGAGAGGCTCCTGCGTGTCCCGTTCGTACCGCTGATCCTTCGAGTTCCATCTGAGATAGAGGTAGCTCGTCCCATCCGTCAACCCCATCTCCCGAGCCTTGAGGCACATTGCCGTGTCGGTCTCCATGTCGCGGAGGCGGTTGCGTAGCGAGGTCAATAGACAGTGGAACAGCACTGACCTCATTGGTTGGCTCAGGGAGGCCGCATCCTCCGCCTTGAGGCGGTTCCACTCCTTTGCCACCGCAAAGAGCTCCTTCGTTATGGTCCAGCCCTTCTCCGACTCGCGAGTTTGGAGGAAGAGCATGAAGCTTGTATCCAGGGAGTTCACATTGAGGCTGTCCTCGACGCGGAGGGTCAACCGACCCATGGCTACCACCAGATCCTGGAGCGCTCGGCGGTCGCGGCTGTCGCGGTCTCTGTCCTGCCCTCTTCGATCGTTGCGATCCCAGCGGTCTTGTCCGCGTCCGCGTTGCTGACCCTGGCCCCACCAGTTCTGGCGCCGTTGCGGTTGCTGACGTTGATGGGAGCTCGATCGTCGAGCCGATGGGGCACGGCCTTTGCCCGTAGGCTCCGGCTCCGGGTCCTTCGCCTCCGCCTCCTGGCCTTCGCCCTTGTGGTCCCCCTTGGCCGATGTGCGTGGCCACTTCGGGGCAGCCGTATCTTCCAGCGGTTGCTCCACCGTGCGCTTCTCCCTGTCCACTTCCATCCTCGACGAAGGGGCCTCGGTTGGTAGTGCCGTCGGGGCTGTCGGAGCCGGTGGTTCGTCCTGGCAGTGCTCGGGGCTGTTGAGGGCTCCGCTGCCGAGTTCATGTACTCCGCGAAGCGCTCCAGTTCGTCCGCTGCCGCCTTGAGCTCCTGAGTCGCCTCCACCTTGTCTGCCGGTGCGGACGTAGAAAGCATCGAGGCGGGTTTGGCTGGAGTCCTCAAGGGAGTCAAGGCGGTGGAGGAAATGGCCACACATCCACAGGACTACGCATGATTGGCGGTGGACAGCCGCAGGTCCTTTGAAGCGGAGGCCGCACCAGTTGCACGGGCACAGCGGCGGCGGTTTGGATTGAGCCCACTCGTAAACCCGATCTTGTGCAGCCGCTATGTCAGG